ATTTTCTTCGAGCTCCCGATAACTCGAACTACCGACAACTCGAACTTCTTTCGATTTCCCTTGAAGGTTCGAGTTATCGGGAGTTGACTGTATTATTATTATTATTTTGCCTTTACTATTAGCCATTCGCTTTGATTATCTTAACTACCACAGAAATTGCGGCTTTTGAGGGAATACGGATTCTGGAATCCAGGGAAATTCTTGCTCTTGGAATAAGGGATGCTGGGCTTTGGAACGTACAAAATCGTTTGATGTGTTAGTCATGTGTCTGCATGTGTGTGTTTGCATGTAAAAAGTTTAATATGTCGCCATGTTGTACCTCGGCCATAAACTTATATATCTTTAATGACGAAATACTTTGGCAGTAGAGACAGATAACGAAATTTTAATTGAATTTATCTGCTATTAAAATAGCCTGCGAAAACCCCGGCAAAAACATCCGTTTCTCCTCGCTCTTCGCCGCTGGGGACGTTTCGCGCGGCGAAGAGGGAGGAGAAACGGATGTTTTCGCAGGCTACGAAATTAAAAAGCTGTACACTGTCGTGAGCGGTACATATCTCGGATCATGCGGACTTCTAGTTGGCTATCCGGATGAGCCAGTCACACGTTATTTGGGAAAAAGAACATGGAAAAAAAGACAAAAAAGGCCAATTGTTATAAAAAATAAATAAAAAGGCATTAGAAAGCATCCGTATGTTACCAGAATGCATCCCTAGGTTACCCGTATGTATCTGTGTTTTACCCGCACGTTACTCGTATGTATTCTATGTTACTCGTATTTCTCCCATCATATTTTTAAGCAAATAATCATGCCTTCTGCGAAACATCCGTCCCCAAAGTCATATGAGAGACTTCCACTGCATTTCAAAATAAAGACAATAATGAGGTGATTATATAAAGTTTATTGGCAATTTTAATTTAGCCAGTTTGGCCTTTTTAGCCCATTCGAATCCATTGCTTCTATTTTGACTATTTTTGTACATAGTGCCGCTTCTAAAATAGCAACTGTTGGATTATGTAACCGAAGTGCTTTTAAGAATATTAATTCTGGGTTCATCTAACCCGTAGTCTCCCCTCAAAAGGGAGGAGCGTTGGGTGACGACACTAAAAATGGCTGTGTAGCAGACTATCTAACCCGGAGAAAAATATGAAACCGCAAACTGATCCTTACGGCAAGGCGATGAAGAAGTAAACAAAAGAATGGAACAAATTGCCCAATATTTCGGTTTGAAAACAAACCTTCTTCAGGGGCTAAAAGAGAAATGAAAATGAAACTAATATAGCGGGAGCCCGGAGCGGGAGCCTCTGTGGAGGAGAGAGTCAGATGCCTGAAAGGATATCCAGACCGGAAATTATCTCCTGCAAACAGTGCAATAAAAATGTCAACAGGTACAGCGGTTTTTTTCTTATCAGTCGTGTTGTTTTGTTTGACGTAATGATATCAAAAGGACAATCTAGGGCCGGGTGGCCACTACATAACGAAAGGACAGGAAAGGAAGAGGTTGCTACCGGTGAAAATCGTAGTTCGCACGGAAGGTCATGTATCTTCCAGAATCCGTCCCTAGGATTACTACAGAGAATTTCTCGTAAATTGTTGCACTACGAAAAGCAACTGAAAGGAATTCGAAATAATAATTTTAGTTTGAACAAGCTCGTAAAAAGGGAAATTTGACCCTGAGCCAATCTAACCATGTATGACGGTGTTCAATTATTTACAACAAAAACTTAGCCATGTAATGCAACGCATTTTATGACCCACTTATGTGCATACCCATTATATAACTTAATGCAATGTCTAGCTGTGGTCACACTACATACTTTTTACCTAGGTAAACTCGACTTGTGGACAGTTTACTTAAGGAAACTTGATTTTTTAAGTGTGACCGATTTTTCCCGAGGTAACTTATCTTAACTTATTTTATCGTCTGCGGTTTGGATATATCTCGAGAAAAATAGTTTCCCTTGACAGCTACCCCAAAGCACTAGCTGGAGAGATTGGACGAATACAAATGGAATGTCTTGCAACCCAAGCAAATGTAAAGAGTTGACGATCAAAAAGAGAGGCAACCACGATCTCTATTCACCTATTGGGATGATACCAAGCTGTAAAGAAGTTGAGATTTTGGGCGTTACCTTCCAATGTGACAGCAAATTTTCAGTGCACGTGAAGAACAAACTTATTAAAGCTAACAAATCCCTACATATCCTTAGAACGCTGCGCAAAGAAGGGTACAATCAGTCAGAAATAGACCTTCTCTTTAATACTATAGTTCTACCTAATATTAATTACGCATTATCTGTCTACGCCGCGTCCGTGTCCGATCTTACACCCGTACAATGTTTTTTAGACCGCTGTTTTAAAAGGAAATATACGTCTAAGCTTGTAAGTGTTAATGATTTCTTAGAGAGGCAAGACCGTAAAATTTTCAGAAAAGTTTCCAATGCCAAAGGACATCCACTTTTATCTATTATGCCTCGTGTTAAACCCTCCAGCTACAATCTTAGGAAAGAAACTTGTTTTAAACCTAAGATTAACACTATGCGCTTTAAAAACTCTTTTATTAATCGTTTAGTTTTTAAATATGAATTAGCTATGTAATATACTAGATATATACACCAGTATATAATCTTTTTAATTCTTACTTTTTAACTTTTTAAAATTTCTTACACTTGCTTGTAACAAAAGATATGTATTTTTATCTCTTGATGAATAAAGACTTTATTATTATTATTATTAAAAACGAAATATCGAGGTTGCTAGCCAATAGACTCTCATCGACGAAGGTCTTGATGACAGAGCCGGACATAGCTCACGCTGTGAAAGAAATTTTGGGGGCACGAGTCGTCTACCCCTGGCTTCACCTTGCACGTTGAATTAGCGTAAGAAATAACAGCGAGATACTCTTTGATCTGTACAGCACCCGAAATGAACTGGATCCCGAAATGATCCCAAACCATGTAATAATCTCTAAATCGACCCCGAAACGATACCCACTCCGGGGTCGGGATCATTTCGGGGGCTGAGATTTATGATGAGATTTATGATGTTTTCATCGCACATAGAAATGATATATAAAAATAGTGCCTTACAAGACATATTCGTAAAATTACTGTTTATCGAGTATAGGCTTTCCAAGAAGATACCCCTTGTATGAGAAAGTGATGAGTGGGTACATTTCAACAAATAGTGGAATTCATCACCAATTTCGGATCTATTACAAAGGAGGCAAAGCCTCTCAACTCTGGGTATCTTCTTGTAGCGCCCAGATTCAATAGGTAGCAAGTGGCAAGAAATTCGCATTTTGGATACTGCCACTCTTGTCTTAACGTTTTTTTATTAAATCAAGATAGGATTCAAATCTGACTTCTTTTTTCACTCCACCATACAGACTCAGTAGTGTGACCTTCACAGAATTTTTTGCCTAGGTAAAACAAAACCCGAGAAGAATTTACCTCAGGAGAGTTTTGATGAATTTGCCAAAGGTAAATCGGTTTTACCTACAATAGATAAAAGTCTGTAGTGTGACCACAGCTCTGAAAGGTTATAGTACTGCCGTGAGAGTGCGAACGTTCACAGCATGACCCCACCACCTCCCAGTTTCCGCTTCTCCGGTTTCAAACAGGTCTTGAGAAATATATAGCCAAAATGGTGCTACAGACCATCAGAGGCCTCTGAGTCGTCGTGCTCGGTGGTAAGTATATTATTCCGGTGTAGATATTCCTTAGTATTAACTTGTATAAAATAGTTTATATTTAGCTAGCGATAAAAAGAACTGTTTTGATGAAGTTGTCGTTGAAAAATTCCCACGGGGATACAATCCTTCACGGGAGCAGACGACAGAAAAATCTAGAGCCACAGTAAATTTTTTGCAACTTTATTTACCTGATTTAGAATATCGGCGGCATTTGTTTCCTTGAGTCGCTGAATAAGACCGTTACTTACTGTCTTGAATCTTTGCATGTAAATCATAAGTCTCAAGTCTCCCAACCTCCGAATGCAAAACCACAGGAGCATCGTTCCCTGAAAACCAAGACGAACCAACATTGAAGATTATGAATTGTACCAATTGGCATTTACTTTAAAGTCTCCCAATTTTTCGACTAAAATGTAGATTCGAGCTTTGAATGTGGACTGAATTCTTTTATTCGCGCTGTCGCTAAAATTTTGCACATTATTAACTTTTGTTACCAGCAGTAACTAAATGTGGCTATATGGCCGGTAGCCGGAAAGGGCCTCAAATAGACTAAATAGCCCGTGCGTGACTCAGGGGCACGTTAATCAAACCGGCTAAATCAGATACCTGACGTTAAACTGAAGCAGGTCTAACAAGTCTACGTCGAAAAAAAATGATCTAGAAACCTACATCTGTTCTTCAGGTTACTAATTGTGCAATTTCATACATAAGAGGAAGAGTTTTGCAAAGCGTGCCTGGCTTTAGCAAGCCATGTAAAAAAATCAATACACGAGCAAAAGGGAACAAAGGTCAATTTCCCTCGTGCAACTTCTCTATTACAGCAACCACCGCCCAGGTTTACGCTACTGTATTGCAAGATTGAATCTCCCGTCAAATGTCAAAATTTGAATACCGTACAGGCTGAATACCGTAAATTCTCTATTAAGCCCCCCCGAGTGGGGAGGCTTCTTTACTTGAGGCCATTTGGGGGGGGGGGGCTTATCTAAGAACTAGAATACAAAGTGGAAAAGCTCAAGTACAAGAAGATCAGAAAAATAAAAAAACCATCCTGGATCAGTCCACTCGACGTTTTACAGTTGTGTTTGATTTATTAGTTAAGAATAATCAGGGGAGGGGTGAGGGGCTTAATAGGCCCTATTAACTTTCTTCCCCTGAAAAGAAGAGGAGAACTTATTAGAGGGAGAAGGCTTATTTGAGAGGTTTATTTTAGTGCCAAATGTTACCACTATAAAACAGCTTTGAATTACCTAGTAAATCCAAGGTCATTTTGAATGATTTTCTTTCAGCGCGCTGCTAGACAGCACTATGAAAAACACAAAAGCACAGCTATGTGTGGAGCGGAAAGAGGAAGTACAGGAGCTCAGATTATTGCGTCCCGATAGCTGTTGGTCCTGGCTGGTGTGTGCCGCCTCAGGAATAACAACTGTTCTTAATGGGGGTATCTTTGGCAGCTTTGGTTTGTTATTATCTCCATTGATGGAAGATTTTGGAGTGACCCGTTTTGATGCAGGTAATAACCTTGATACAGTAGTGCCGCTAGGCAACTACTGTTACTGTTACTGTTTCCCTGCCTAGTTCCTAGCGTCTCAAGTGTTTGGAAACCTGAAAAAGCGACCGCGATCGATCAAGGAGTATCTCGCAATGGACCATGGGAACGTCTAGCTTTGACGCAAAGGACGCTGGGAAGGGTAGGCGAGAAGTTCGCCTTTCCCATGATACATAGCGCGGAACCAAAATCGCTGCAGTCCCTCTCGAATCCGCTAGAACGTGCCTGGGTACGAGGCAATCTGTTTCCTCTTTGGTTTGTGTTCCTGACTAAGGCCCAGTTCTTACTTCGTGTTTCTGTTGGTCGAACTCAGTTGTAATTGGGTCTAAGAGAAGCTTAATAGTGAACGTGATATTAAGGCAGTTGTAAATAAAACAAAATAAATACATTTCCAAATTTTATGAATCAATTTAATTCAACACGGCATTAGCACGACGTTTGAATCACTGCCACGCCAGAGTCGTGTAACACGGCAGAGCCGGTCGAACTTAATCAGCCCATCAAATGGAGCCTCCATCTCCATTAATTTCTTGAGTCAACCCTTTCCCGAGTAGATTTATAAATAGAACGGCTAGTTTCCCGCGAAAAGTGTCATATTTCCGTGAGTCTCGTGTGTCACCGTGAAAAAATAAAATTGGATGAAGTCGAACTCAGAAGCCCGTCCTTCGACCGTTTTCCTTTTTTCCTTTTCGTCCATTTTTACAATTTTACAGCCACTGGGATCTGGGTATCGTGAAATAAAAGTTAATGAATTACCCGACTGAGCATGAAGCGATGGGACAAAGGCAGTGAACTGAGGATCACGGAAAGGTTATCTTTGCGAGTGTTTATATTGCTGTCATACATCCCACATTTAAGCATGCACCTTGAAAAGAGTCGACGATTAAGCGTTCTGTGGACGATTTGGAACTTTTCGATGATCAGCGCCGAAAAAGTGCCAGGATCATTTGATTTTTGTCATCACCGTGGAGTGGATTTCGCCAGTTAAGAACCGCGTGCAAAAGCGATGACCTAAGTAGCAACTAACGAGGAATGCTTCAGGTCCGAAATTTGAGAAATTGCAGTCTTCCTTTACAAACTGACTTGTATCACCATGAGAGTTGCCTGATAAAACTGGCACTTGAAAAGTTGAACAGAAGACAACAGTTGCTCGACCGTGAAGCTAACTCAAAAGTAATTTGCTGACGGAGGAATTTGTGACATCGCACTCCAGTCCAAAGACCCACTCATCTCAAGAAAAACAAAATGGATTGTATCTGCGCCAAAAGAATTATGACTGACTAACAGGACAATTCTCAGCAGTTAATGTAGAAGTTTAGGCTCAATTCCTTCCTTCGAATTCGCATCTGTAGATCACTTTTTGCGAGAAGACAATGGCTGGACCCGGCGTTACAAAACATAGCAGGGAATCATCACACTAGCTGACGGACAAAACAACCACAAGGACTACAAGTATTTATTCAGATAAACGCATTTCGGAAAAAAAAACCTTGGAAAACTAGAAATTTGATTAATACTGAGACATTTAGCCGAAATAAGAACCTCAACGCTCAAAAAAATTGGCTAAAGAAAACGAATCCTGTCAGAACTACAGACTGCACTGCAGGTAGTAGTTAATCATTCTGCATGTAACAGACCAGCTTCATGGCCTCTTAATGTGAGACAAGCAACCAAAATTAAGATTAAAATAGTCAGAGTTTAAAATTCTCCACAGTATAATCTACCCGCTAGAAAGAAAAAATAAAGAAAATCTCTGAGGGATGAAAACGCTAAAGTCACGTTTCACTAGCTTATGATTGTGTTTGGCCTGTCAACAACGAATTTCCTGCTGTTTGATGAAGTACAATAGCAGTGTCATTTCGTCGTTGTGATTGGCTCTTCCTACCGTCGGCGCGCGAAGTCTCCCCTGGGAACCGTTCTAATTATAAATCTACTCGGGAAAGGGTTGACTCCAAGGGCTTGTATGGGAGATGGAGGCTCCATTTGATGGGCTCCTGCTTTGCCAATCCAAATTCAAGCCTTTATTCTGACATCGTGCTTCTGCCGTGCTTTTGTCGAACTTAATCCAAGGGCTAAGGTCGGAGCGACTAAATCGCGACGTATGAACTGAGCGTAAGGCACCCACCGGCTAGATTGTGCAACTGTTTTTCGACTTTTTATTAAGTTTTGCTTAAGCTCTCCAAAATAAGAAGGCGCACGGCTAGGGTTGAGAATGTCCATGCAAGTTTTAGAGAGGTTCACTGTGTATGTCTTTCTTGTGCCTGTATTTCAGCATGGATTGGTTCTTTACATCTGGCATTTGGTTATCTCCTCAGTCCTCTTGGTTCGTATCTCAGTGATCGCTACAGTTACAGATTCACTTCCGCGCTGGGCAATCTGGCAGGAATGTCCGGTTTTCTCTTAGCATCCTTATCTTCTAAGCTTTGGTTAATGTACCTCACGTATGGATTCATGTCTGGCTGCGGACATATAACTTCATATAATTCGTGCAGTTTAGTAGTTCTCCAGTATTTCATCAAATGGCGCTCGTTGGCTGTTGGGATTGTTCAATCGTCACCAGCAATTGGTGTCCTTGCAGTAACACAACTCACACAGGCTTGGTTAGATGAATTTGGATGGCGATGGGCTGTTAGAGGCCTTGCTGGCCTGTATTTCATATGTGCCTTGTGTTCAGCTGTCTTTGTACCGCTGGACCATCCGTCAGAGGAAAATAACTGGGACAAGGACATGATTATGAAGCCACCGGTGGAACAGACAAGGAGATTATCTCTACTTGGAAATCGGCCGTTCTTAATCTTACTAGCTTCCGTGGCTGTCAATCATCTGGCTAACTACGTTCCAATCATGCACATAGTAAGTACTCGATACATACACCCATGACATTACATCCACACATCCATTCATTCGGGATTGAGTCAAGCAAAATTTCTGGCTTCCAAGAAGACTAATTCTCTATGTGACATAATTTTGTATACAAAATTGTCATGTGATGGACTGTAATTTAAGACTGCAAGAATTGAAAAACGGATTACTAGCCTGAGAAAAATGCACCCAAAATTAAGTGATACCACCGACGGCTTTCCCTCGAATTACGTCTAGAAATTCCACACTGATGACGGGTCAATTCCCAGATCTGGGTAAGGCCTCTGATCTAGACTGCGAACAATCTCTCGTTTTCTTGAAATCTAGTGAGGGGAGTGCACTTGCACGCGAGCGTTGAGCGGCGAAGCCGCGAGAGGCCATTTACGTGTCTCGCGCGCTTTTCGCTCAACGGACTAAGAAAAAAGAGAAACTGCTCGTAGTCAGGAGCCCATAATCTGGAGCGATCAACTCTCGTAATAGGCTTATGTCACATTTTAGGGCACTTTTACCCGCGAAAATAGATATGAACAAGGAAAACTAAACGTTATTAAAAGGCAAAAAAAGAAAATTTTTTAGCCCTGTAGGTTTCTGTTAGTTTTGCTGACTGGTTTTTTAAAAGATATCAAGAGCCAAAAAATTTGCACCAAAACTGTTCTTAAAAATAAACTGGTCCGTGAAAACGCTGTGACAAAAGCACATGGAAGTTGCGCGCTCCGGGTTATAGGCTCCTGTCGTGGTCCATTCTGATCTGTGGGTTGAAGCAAGTTTTCAACCAATCAGAAGCACTTCTCAGTTTCTCGAGATAAGGTGGGTTATATAAAGGTTTAAATGTTTAAAATTCAAGGGCGATTTATGTAAGATGCCAGGAATACTTTTCTTTTAGCATGCTTAAAACATCTTCTCACAGTTAAAAAGTCAGTGTGTTTTTGTTAACTGCTGACAATTACTTTCTATTCATGTGTCTCCTCACTGTCTTCTCGACTCAAACTGACTACATAATTGAATTATCCGACGGACTATCCAACCCTTAACTTGACTGACTGGTTAAATGACTGACCTTACCTAGTGCGGAGGGTACGGAGTGAAAGAGTGACTCAGCGACGTAGTCACTCACACAAATTGACTCGCCGACTACCTAACTGAAGGCTCGTTAAAAAGCAGATAAACTAAAAAACTCGCCGAGTGGCTGCAAGGCTGATGACTGGCCAGTTGATGGACTAGACTGACTGCCCATATCTCTTTTTGTCAAACAGATGAACTGGTAACTGTCAGACTAAAAGGCTCCGTTCTTTATCTCTTTCTAAACAAGAGTATGATTGAATTGTTATAATAAAAGGTTTCTTCTAACTTGTCCTCTGCCCCTTAATTTTTCAGGTCAAACACTGTGAGCAAGAACTTCATATTTCAGGAAACAAAGCTGCAACGCTGTTTACCTACTTGGCTCTAGCATCGATTCTCAGCCGCTTCTTATTTTGCAAATTAGGAGACTTAAATTGCCTCAAGAGAATTCGTCTTTATCAATGTGGAATGACCATCAGTGGCCTTTGCATCATGTGTCTTCCGCTTGCGAGATCATTTGGTTCTTTGGCGGCAATAATGTTAGTCTTTGGACTTATGGAAGGCGCCATGTTAGGGCAATTGACTTTGCTCGTTTTGGAATGCGTGGGAAGACACAAGATCAATCAGGCTTGGGGCGTGATGCAGTGTTTTATTGGCATGTCTGTTTCTATAGGACCGCCCCTTGCTGGTGAGTTTGGACTTATCATTTGTTCCAGAGTCTCTCCGAAAGGCCCTGTCTAGACGTTACGGTGACGCAGTGTCTCAAGGGCACTATTCACGCCGTATACATAGAGTAATAAAAATTGCGCGTTCTCTTAAAAGGCGACCTTGACACACCTCTGCTTGTATTGATACATTCTATCACATTCAGCTATTTAACCGAGAAACCATTTGCATATTCTAACGTTACACTGACGTTATATGTGGAAAGTTCATTGATCAATCACGAGCAAACGCAGTGTATGGTTTTAGCCCTGCATACTTTGATTTTCTGAAATTCTATTTCCTCTTTTCAAGGTTTTATGGCCGACAGACTTGGTTCTTATAATCCTACATTTTACACCACGGGCGCAGTGATGATAGCGGGGACATTGATTACATCACTTATGGCATTTGTGAAACAACAACCAGAAAGGACTGAAGTGTTGCTGTCCATCGGAGAAGAACTCTTGGTTACAGAAAAAGTGTCAGTTGTCTAGAATCGTTTCATACTACGTTTTTTAATTCGAGGACCGAGTTGTTCAAATCTGCATGGGTTAAAATAACCCAGGGTTAAAGCGAATTTGATTTCAAATATGAATACTTAGGAAGTAAATTCAGTTTTTTGTCTACAATTTCATGATTGGATGCTTTAAAAAGAACAAAGAAAATTAACTGAGCTAATGCTTTTAAACAAAGGAAAAAGAAACCCAGATTATACTTTAACCCGGGTTAGAGCTAATCGACTTTCGAACAACTGGGCCCTGTTTAATATGCTGACTTATATGTATTTATTTACTTCCATGAGGTTCGTTGGGGGAGACAGGTTTTGATTATGATGCATCAAAAATACAAGAATGCATAGCAAAGCTACCATTGCAAAGGAATTTCTTAATACGTTTAGGATATAAAGGGATGTTTATTGTAGCAGATGGTCTTCACTCTTCAAATAGTCTTGCTGTTCTTGCTATGTTTTCAAACAGTAGTTCAACTGTTTCTCCTAGCTTGATCTTCGCGAAACGTGTGAAATCCGGTTTCATCATTTTTTCTTGCTATACATTTTTTTCGGTTGTCGTCCCTATTTGACGATTACCCTGTACTCTTGACGTCATCTTCTGAATATCGCAAACATCTTCCAAATTTGGTCAATGCTAGCTGGTTATGAAGAATTAGCGTGCCACTTGAGCCAATAATAATGGCCGATCCTTTAGGTTTTTTGCCAAATTTCTTTAGATGAAAGGGTCGGACTGTCCCACGAAGGTTCCTGTTGTTTGAGGAGGACGTCAAAAACTGCAAAAAAATTGCTTCAGATCGCTCCTTCTCGCCCTAAATCAAGCACATTTAGAGCTGCAAACCAAAGAATTTACCGCTAAATATTGTTGTATCAACAAAGATGTCAGAGTTAATTCCTTCAATGCATGGGAGCAGGAAAATCCTTTTAAACAGTTTCCCAGCACGTCCCTTATATAGAAACCAGGAACGGAAATTTAATAAGTCACACACTTCATCCTATCAGAGTCGTTTTGAACGGTTTAAATATTCAGAGATATTCAGGAGACCATAAGCTCCAAAAATACAAATGAATGCACGTTTAGAAGAAAGAATGAAGTAGAGGTCTGTTTTGAAGTGCAATCAAAGATTTCACTATTTTTCTGAAAGTTTAAAATTTTCCTTGGAGATTACAGAGTAAGATTTTACCTGCTTTCAATTTTTCCTCAAAAGGAACTTTTACTCACGTGGCTAGAGTCTATGCTACTAGTAATTTATTGGAGCAAAATAAAGCGTTTACATAAGAAAAGAGTTCAACTACATGATTGTTATGGCCGCCGTTTCCTTGAAACACTGATAGAGACCTTACCATCCGACAACGGCGACGCCAATGAAAACGTCGCTGTAAAAATGACACTTTGCGTCGTTTGAAACTTTTTTCGCCCTAAAACCAAGACACCCAGTTACTTGAAAGGAGGGAAGTTAGGTTGGAACTAAAGAGAGGGGACTGTGTCCGAAATCAGAGATAGTAAAAAATATATCGCTTGGCCGTTGCCGTTCCCTAGTCAACTCAAAATTTGGTCATTTCACGTCGTAGTTGTGTAAGAACGGCAAAGAAATTTACAGAAAAAACGTGACGGACGTGCAGAGTTCTTGTTTTGCTCATAGAACCTACTGAACGTTTCCCCTGCTCTCATTGTTTCCTAAGATCCCTTATGTATTGCCGCTGTGACGTCATTTCAAAACCCTCTATTTAGAATTTTGTAATTTAAGTTAAAACAAAGCAAGACAAAACCAAGTATTGGATGCGTCACCAGTAACTATCTGACCCCAAGAGCCATAACCTCTTTTGATAGATTTCCAGGATCTTTTCTACGAAAGTGCTCTTGGCAATATTTTGAGAAAATTTCTCGGAGCTTTGCTGTTAGACTGAAACAGTTGCTCGTAAATGCAAGTTAAGGCGCCCTGAACTCTCAAACTAAAATCGAATAGCTTCGGAAGGACAAAGTTTGGACCATGTAGGAGGGTCAGATGTCATTGTCTTTTTCTCTTACCTAAGGCCATGCAACACGCAAGGACGATTTTTAGCGCAACAGAGCGATGCACATAGTTGAGAAAATTTTTCGAGTTGGCACAACATTGTTCCATTGCTGCTGCAGTATCGTCGTTGCAAATCGTCTCGTGTAACACCTCACCTTTAGGTCATCATAAAAAGGCTTGTAGAGCAAAGAAAAGACTCGATAAAATGAAGAAATATCATATTTACTAGGAATTCTGAAAAAAGAAGCTTAGCCTCCAAACACATTGTTATCATTGTCTCAACATATAAGTATCTGTTTAGTTCATAAATGCTTACGTAAAAATGTGAACAAAAAGGCAATGAGAGATCGAAAAGAATCTTAAAGGAGCTGTGTCACGGAATTTATCAAAACTCGAATAGTAGGAACCGTCAAAACAGTAGAAGAAGGCCGGATACACAAAAGGAGCCACAGATGGACAAACTTGAAGTTGTGGGTTTTTGAAAACTTGTTAACCTAACAGTATTTCAAAGTTCATTTTTGTTGTTTGTCACGTTTGATGCAATATACTTGGGAAGTATATTAGTTGGACAAGAAGCTGTGATGTACAGGTGATTTCTTCGTTAACTTTTAGCTCCAAAGCGTACAAGGAAGCAAACTTGGCAATATGAAGTAGAGAGCCACGACACAGCCCCTTTAAGGCAATTGACCTATGATTATTTGAAGCTTACAAAGCAAGGTGCCGGCAAACATTATTTTGCGTTAAATCAGGGAGGGTATACTCTATCCAGTTTTTCTTCAGTGGGATGGACAATCCACTACTTTTAATTTTAAGCAGATTCTATTTGACTATATTCTCTTCAATTCGGACAGTTGTACTCAATGAAAATCTTCGAGACGAAACCTGAGCATTTTCCAACCTCGAATACAACACTCATTTTTTCGAATTCTATTGAGCAAAATATGGCCCTCTGCCTGCAAAAGAGGGAATCAATCAACCAAAAATAAAATGTTGTTTTCTTTTCCTGCCGCAACTGCTGCTCTTGAAATCCGAGCAAGCTGGACGGCACTCCACGGAAACAGAAAATCATGCATGGCATATCTATATGGTAGCCAAATGTCTTAAGTAAGGTTCGTCTATTAATTCAAAGGACAGTTACTTTTTCCGTAACCAGAAATTCTTCGTCGTAAGATTGCTTCGCGTCAAAGTTTTCAAGTTGCCCTTTAACAAAGAGATGTTCTTCGTCATAAGATTGCTTCACGTCATAGTTTTCAGGTTGCTTTTTTGCAAACATCATAAGTGATGTAATCGACGCTCCAACTATTACAACTGCCCCAGCGGTATAAAACGATGGGGTGTACGAGCCAAACCTGTCCGCCATTAAACCTGCAGAACAAATTTTAATAATAACCAATGAGTTGTAAGCAAAGAAAAGAATGGTCAAATATCATCGCGACACCCCAATTTAACCTTTTTCATTTTACATTTAAATTTTTCCGGTGTATGCCATTGTTTTGTTTGGAAAACTGCAAATGCCCCAGGGTGGGGCCAGCAAATTCATACAAAACCCTATCGTGGGGCTTTAAAAAGCACCCCACCTCAGGAGACATAGCAAAAATTATATTTCCTGACAGAGAAACAACAAACACCTGTTTTTAAATTAAAATTGCTATCAGGCGACACTGTCGAGCGGGATACTCTCGTTTTCCTATCGTATACCCACCCCCCTTCCAAAAAGTGCAGAAAATAGGCTATTTTCAAGAGAAAATCAAACAGGTTCTACTACAGTTATAACACCACGAAAACCATTATTTCCTTTGTTTTTAACCTTAGTTATCTACAAAAGCCATATGCCAACTAAAACGAAAACAACGTAGAAAGCTCCCAAACCCGCTAAATTTGCGTCCTGATAGCCGGCCTGAGGCCATTTTCTTTTGTTTTACACTTTGTTTTCTAGAATGAATTTTGATTTTCGCGATAGCAAGTGCAAAATATCCCCGGTGCATGTCGCCCGATTCTGGGCGATAAATTAGATTCACGTTTTCAACTCACCAGCAAGCGGAGGACCGATACCAATACTCAGTCCTAAAAAGGGCATTAGGTAGCCCCATGCTTGGTTCACCTTGTCGTTTCCAACGCATTCCAAAACCAGCAAAGTCAATTGACCCATTTGAGCACCTTCCATGAGTCCAAACACAATGAAAATTGCAGCAATGGAGGGGAATGATTTTGCAAGCGGCAGGCATATAACACACAATCCACTGATGGTCATTGCCACTTGATAGAGATGAAATCTGTTGAAGCATCTGAAGTCGCCCAGCGTGCAGAAGATATGGCGACTGAAGAATGATGCTATAGCCAAATAAATGAACAATATAGATGACTTTTCCCCAGAGATATGGAGTTCTTGTTGACAATGTTTGATCTGTTGAAAACAAAGACAAAAAGAGAACATAATTCTTTACTCCATCTTAATTGCTCTGGGGAAGGAGACAGGATGTTATTTCCACAAAGCCGCTTAGGCAATGCTCAGCTCAGTGTTCGTCGTATATTAGAAACGAACGTTATTAGTCCTGGGATGTAATTTGAATACTAATTATCCAATCTGGAGGGGTGTATTTCGATAACATGCACCTCTGCATACTTGTTATGAACTAAGTTGAACTGGCCAAGGACGATCAAAACTGCAGAAAATGATGCGAATTATCAAGGAAAATCTTTTTCTTAAAGAAAGGGCACTTGAGCTACTCCAAATTATATTAGAGGCCCTTCTTAAAATTCGCTGCTCGAAACGAGATGAAAGCAATTAAAAATAAAATTAAGGAAAATAAAAATTTCATAATCTTCTATAACCACCAATTGTTGTACTGGCATACAGTCGAATCTCCACTAAACGCCACCTCTCTACAACAGCCACTATTTTTGGCAGACAGTCCATACTTTAACTCGAACTAGAAGAAGACATGGCGTCTTTTTACACATTCAACGCACAAAAACTGTAAAAACTGTAAAAGACTAAAAATTAGAAGTCTTAAAATATATTTCTCCCTTCGAGCTTCTTCAGTCTTTTACTATTGACTGAAGAGGCTCAAAGAGCGAAATATATTTCAAGGCTTCTAATTTTTATTCTTTTACAGTTTTTGCAGTTTTTGTGCGTTGAATGTGTAAAAAGACGCGATGTCTTCTTCTTGTTCAAGTTATTCTAATACATTCCTGGCCTCGGCTTTTAGAATTATTTAGAAAGGTCCATACTTTAACTCTTGTTTAAACCTCTCTACAACAGCAACTTTCTTCTGTCCCCAAGGTTGCCGTTGTGTGGAGGTTCAACTGTTCTTTTATAGGTGAAACAATTAGTGCCCCACCTAACTGAATAGACTGCCGCCAGTATCGCGATATGAAAAAAAACATTAAAAAATGTGTCTGCGTTAACCAGCAATAGTTGCACTTACAGCCGTCTTGATTATGCGTTGAGACAATTAGCACCTTAAGCTGGATAAACTGCCAAGTATTACGATATTAATGTTGAAATGCTTGTAAATGAAGGAGGAGAAGAAGGAAAATCCTGTACTCACTATGTGGACAGTTGGAACGTAGTATCCCAAAGAAACAATAATCAGTGAAATCGAAAAAATAATAAAGAAACCATTTTTATGTAAGGGTTGACATCTCGTTTCCTTTTGTCTTGGCTTCGTTGTTAGGTTTTCGGCATCTTTTTCTAATGCTTTGTCAAGAGGCACAAAGACAAAAGAACACAATCCACAAATAACGTAGAGAAGGGCAAATCCTCTTAAAGTTCCTCGCCATGAAAATGCACTCAGAAGTGCTTGGGTGAATTGAGTTATTGCAAGCATGCCAACAGCTGTTGCCGACGTAATGATCCCAACAGCCAACGAACGGCGTCTGACAAAGTACTGCAGGACCACCAGAATAGAGGAGTTGTAGACTGCCCGATGACCACACCCAGATATGAGGCTAAATGTGGGGTACATCATCCATAGTCGGGAAGAAACTGATGCAAGAAGGAAGCCGATCATTCCAAATGATGAGCCCAGCAAGGCGGTGAATCTGTAGCTGAAGCGATCGTTGATATAGGAACCGAGAGGACATGTGAAATAGCCAAAGGCCATACTGAGTGAACCAATCCATGCTGAAACACAACAAAAATAACCCTATCATTAAAAAAAGAGCAACAAGAAAGCCAACAATCGAAATAAGACTAAAAAGGAAAATTAATACAAAAACTTCAACGTAAAGTATGTTAAATGTTGCTGAATTTGGAAGAAAGGCATTAGGCAATTAAAATCGTACGCTATTTGCACTTAACCCTCCAGTCTGCCAGTGAGCCAGTTTTTTACGCCAACACCCTCTCTCTTTACGCCCTGCAGAGCGCTGTCAGTGCAATAGCTCGTTTAGGTGGAAGGCTAATTTCGAGTTTTCAGTAGCTTGTGACTTGGTTCAAGATATATGCCAGGTGGTGTTGATAAATGATATCAGTGATGATGATGATGATGATGATGATGAATAGGTTCAAAATTCGCCATCTTTCAATTTTATTACCAAACCTACCCTGCTTGGCAGGCCTTTTTTGCACCTGCCATGCAGGCTGCACCAAAAAGGTCAACACGTCCGTTATTCGAGACACCTCAACGACATTCACAGGTCAAACTGTTAAATATGGGAAAAAGCGGTAAACGTCGCTACTGAAAACTATCTGCCATAATGATCAGGATCAATTGCACAACTTATATCAATTTTTTGATTTACGGGAGCTTTACTCCCTATGAAGACTCCCATGCCATGTGCAAATTGTAGATGTTGGCATCACTTAGGTGATCAGGATGGGACGTTGATATTTTGTACACATGCGAGTACGTCAGGGATGTGCGTGAGGAAAATACAGTGTTGATAGGCTAATCCAATTACATATGAAATCTAACCAAACTGGCCTCCATTAGAAGGGTTTATTAAAGATCAATTCACCGACGATTCATCCCCGCCTTTTTTTACACGGCAGCATCCCTCTGAACTTACAATCCCTTTTTCTTTGAAGAAAAAAAAACCAACAGAGTCCTTTCCGGTTTTCAAATTTGACCTTGGAATCGATCATGTGATTTGCTAATGTTTGCGCAAGAATTACATATGCTTTTTAAAACAATACTCCGAGAACTGCATAAAATGTTCTCTCTGTCACAGGCTAAACTTTTCCGGAAATGTTTAGTACATTTCAATTCCAAAAAATTCACTTAAGGTATCTGCACCGGCAAAATTTCAACATTTTTTTTGTCCCAAAAATCCATCTACAGTAAGGTTAGGTCATGAAATACGCTCATCTAGTTTTATTTTTTCAATTTACCCCTGCATCAAAGTAAAAATCTCCTTAAAAGTTTTTACAAATTGAACACCTATTTTTGACCATTGCGTTTTAATGTACTCGGTTGTGGTTAAGTGATCAGGTGTCGCCATTAAAACTTTTTCATCGCTATTGCCGGGCAAGGTCCATCAGGGACCGTACAAATTTCATTGTGAAGAAGTCAATGATATAAAATAAATAATAACACTGAGAGGTACTGTCAAATTTCATTTCAGTAACCCTTTACATTCTCCAGCTAGCTGTCTAGGGTCGCCCCAGCATCGATATATTACAGAGCCCGGGTACAAAACTATTGAAACCCCTCCATTACGGTAATATGATATAAATATGTGAATACCAAAAAAGATACCTGCATTTGCTATCACATCCCAAAATTTTGTATATATTTCTCCATAATTGTACGTTAAAAGAATTTGTCGCTCGGTATATTGCGGGGTTTTCCCAGCATGGCTCCTACCTTCGTTTGGATTTTGTTTCGATGATTGTTGTTACCTACCCAGGAGGGTACTCCGGCGTTAAAGCAAAGGGGATGATCGAAAGAGGGCAAAACCAAAACCTATAATAATTAGAACCCAAATAAGTAATCCTTATGGCTACTAAGGAAACCCAAACACATCCCTGGACCAAACATTAATCCCCAAAATATCCTCTGCCCATATTCTAAAACCTTGACCCCTTAACTATTCAAACAGCAAGCGGTGTTACACCAACCTTCAGAAACATACCTACTTAAATCAAGGCATTCCCAAAAAAATACTTGCCAAATTTTCCTACCCTACAAAAAAGCCCGGAATCGAAAATTTTGAACCCACAAACAGGGATATTGCTAAGAGCAGGCTGTCTACTAATTTCAACGGCTGAAAAAGAGCTACCACCGGTTCAAAATTGCTTTGGAAAACAAAGACATGGAGGAGCTTTAAAAGTACACTTGTGAAAGAAAAAGGCAGCTTGATTAATAAAACAAGCCCGCTTAGCTTTTCCTTAACTACATCCCTGAAAAAAATCTGTCGATCATCCCCGTCACTTTAACTCCAGAGTACCCCAGTGGGGTTACCTGCCGCTTGCCGAGTTGTGTCAAAGTGTTCTACCAAAACTGGCAGCAGAAGTCCAAAGCTGTAACCAATCCCCGAGGCAATAACAAGCGATATTCCAGAAGCAGCACACACCAGCCAAGACCAGCAGCTATCAGGACGCCATCTGGTAGTTTCATGTTCTGAATCTCCTTTCTCGGAGACTTGGACTCGACTGTTCATGGCTGGTTTCGCTAGCTATCTGCGAAAAAGCAGCCATAGAATATAGAATTGCCCTAACTCTCCCTTGGCAGAGAAATTTTACGTCCTTCCAAAGCTTTTTCAGACATATCACCCAGTTTGCCGGAATGAAAAGGTCATGGAGGTCATCAACTTGTTTTTCCAGCTACCCAGGACCGGTTATTTTTACTAGTTTTACAAACTTTACTGGGCACTGACCTGCCCAGAGGGGATAGGCACTAACAGGAATTATAGGTCTCAAGCAAGGTGCCCTCCCCTCCCACAACCCATGAAAGATAGAAAGTAGGGGTGATTACTACTAGAGGTTCACACGCACTAGAGTGTTATGTTACGAGAAGGGCCAAGGGGTTTTCAACTTCAGTTATGTGCCAAGAAGACTAGAACCTCTAACCAATCGTAGATGTCAGCGTAAAGGAAGCGAATTGGTCCGGCCGCGAATTGAACTGGGCTTTCCGTCTGTTACTCAACCAATTGAGCTCGTAACCAGCCGAGTTTAAAACCACAGCAAGGCGTGTCGAACAAGGGAGACGACCAAAATAATTTTCACCCTCTAGTGAGAGCGCCTTTGGCTAAAAACAGTGTGGATCTCTGTCCATTAAGAGAATATCAGTTGCGTGTGGCTTCAAATGGAGAGCTACAGTAGCTCGTAGGCTAACCCTCTCCGTTCCAGAGAGACACGTAAATCCGTTATGAGCGCTGAGTTTGGTTTTCTTCAGTGACTTCAATGTGAATAGGAAACATGTACCGCGGGTAGCACTCTCGTGCCCAGCAAATATACCGCTCGCATGCTACGGTTTCGATAGTTTATCGCAGTCTTTCTAATATTTTGAGAGCATATATCGTCTTGACAGGGAAAAACAAAGAAAAAATTTTACAAAGTCATAGATGAACCTGATAAAAATGATAAGCAAACGAACGCAAATGAATGTCAAGGTTACTTTAGGGCTTTTGTAGCCTGCGCCACAGATTACATCTGGGCATACATTGAAATCGGAAAATGACAAAACCAAGCCGGCCGAGATACTGTCGATCCCTAACGTTCCTACAAAGAACCGCTGGGTAGGAGACTACATGTAATGTTACACGAGACGATTCGCCGCGACGATTTTTAGTGCAACCCAGCGTTTCAAGTTAAACCAATGTCGCAACCATTCAAAACAGTGTTGTGATGCTGTGTTGCGATAAAAATCGTCGTTTTGAATTACACCACGAGCGGTCGTCCTTCTTGCCTCAGAGCCACTCGCGGCGGGCGAAAAAGTGTTTTTTAGCCAGTCAGTGTCATGGATAGTTGGTTCCCACTTACGCAGGTTCGAAAAATTGGTCACTTGATTTTGCTTGGGTTCGCCCCACAGTACTAAGGAAGAGTGGTAAAATACGAATATTTAAAAAAGCAAATGCTGTTCAGTTCTGTTCCAAGACAATAATGAGTGCATAATCAACGTTATTTAGTGCCACTCAAGTGCGCCCAAAATTACATTATCCTTCCCTTTCAGTTCTATTTAGCAATCGTTGTCGTCAAAATATCTACCATAGATATTAAAATTTTCACCTCCTGACACTTATTTACACATCAAAGTTTTTTGTACATGAAATGCAAATGACTAGCAGGTTGTTTTGAGCCCGTCTTCAATCACTCGAACAAAAATGAATCTCATTTTTTTAAACATTTACTTCGCACAGAGTATTAATGTCCATTCAAATTCCGTGTATTTGAACCTTCCTCTAAAAGCCCGTTTAGGTTGAAATTCTAGGAACCTTTAATCTTTAAATATAAACATCGCGTGAGGGCAGTTAGCGAATCATATTCTCCTGACACATATCCGTTTAGCCCAAAAAAAAATACAGTGCCTCTAGATCACTCGCTGGATCTGCCGGGCATATAAAAAATATAGCCACAGCGTTTTTCACTAAAATAAATAAATAAAATAAAAGCTCCTTTGATTGTTTTCTAACCTATGAATCGTATTTCTGTACAGTGAAAAAGCATATCTGCAGCCGCAAATAGACTTACCAGTCCAACTAATATCGATCTCGGAAGGAAAATCCCAGGGTTTTTCTCGCTACTAAATCTTTCCCCGTGAACCAGGAAAGCCATTTATACAGTTCCTTCTGCGTCTCCTTTACTCGCTTGTTGCGGACAGATTTCCTTGCTATAAAATGAACAATAATTCAGTATTTTACATCACAACCACGATTTCATCAGCTGTTACTTGTCACTTGATGTCTTGGACGGACATGAATATTCACGACAGATTAACACGCTTAAAAAATAAACATAACCTGTGTAGCAGGCGCCTGGAAGTAGTGGGCGAAAGAGAGAACGGGCCCGCGCGAGGGGTGGGCAGAGCCGAAAGCTGCAGTGTGGTGATCAAAATTCATGTTTCATGCTTTTGATTTACAGCAGATAAGTTTACTTGTTTTGGTTCAATTAACTCTCTGGTATAAAATTATATTCTTTTTCGTTTAAAACTCGTTATCATAACATTACATTCCCACAAAGAAGAAAAGAAACTAAAACAAGCACATTTACGCCTGCGAACACAGCCGTTTCTCCTTGCTCCTAGCCTCTAAGGACGTCCCTGGCAAATTTTAACCTAAAATGAAATTTAAACTGGCACTGAAATTTATAAAATACCGTAACTTACCTAATTTGCTTCAGATCTGTCAGTTCCTTTGTTTCCTACGCGGTATTTTTTATCCTTTGTAACTTTCTATGCATCTGAAGACAGCGCAGCTAACAGTGGAGATCGGTGGAACATATAAAACCATTCAATTTGCCATTGCATAAGTCGACCCGTAAACAAAAACCGGAAAAAACCGGAAAACCCAGCTCAGGGGATGTAGGTAAGCAAAAATAGCAGTGTATCCTTTCACTTTCGTAGGTTACGGAAACAATAGGTTTTTTTTTCATACAAATCCTTATATTTCAAATGTCATGCAACAATGTCAATGGTCGCCGATGCTTAAATTTCGAGCTTGGGCTATCTGTGGTGTATCTTGAATAACCCTGCATATGACCCTTGTTTCCGATACATAATATCTCCACTAACTCGACTTAGACCACCAAACTATCATAAGCCCACAATCGGCTCATGTATTTTCAGCACTCATTTCTGTAGAATGGGACCACTGTGTCTAGAGTAGTCATAGCAAAGGTAATTCTAGCCTGCGAAAACATCCGTTTCTCCTCGCTCTTCGCCGCTGGGGACGTTTCGCCCTCAGCGGCGAAGAGCTAGGAGAAACTGGCAGGCTAAGGCAATTCTGCATTTGGACAAATCGTCCTTTTCTGGTAGCTTCCGAGGTTTGGGGGGAATTTTCAGGGTCTTGAGTACAATACAGGGGGTATTATTTGACTATTCAGCCGATAGCGTCTTTCTGGAAGAAAGCCTTTGAACGGGTGTAGTACCACCAATTTTTTTCCCAAAAATTCTAATTCTGTACTGGAGGAACGACATTAATCAGGGTCACGAAATAACCAAGATGGTGAAATGAACGATCTTTGTCTCAAACAGAGTCAGGTTTTGAAGGCTTCGGAGGCACACCTCTACCCAAGTTTCCGTTGAGCACCCCCCTAGTAGCCTCCTGGGATCCCAAGCACACGTTATTTATAGGGCTTCGTCACGCGTTCCTGCGGGGAGGGGTAAATCCGAAATGTGAGTTGTATGGGGACCCGGAGAGTATGAGAAACGTTTTGGTATGGAGAAAGTAACTGGGGTACCTGTCATCTCATTGTCGGGTACCGGGGATCAAAAAGGTATTCCACAATGGGAATTTTTCTTTTTTATGTAAAAGGGTTACTAGGTTTAGTTCTAATCAAAAAACAACAAAAAGAATAAGTTTAATTTTATTTTGTATACAAACAACTGATCCAATGAGGAGTGGCAACAAATGAATCCGGTATTAGGAACGGTGCTAAAATGCAAGCCGGAAATTGAAATGCAGAATAGGTACAAATTTTTGTATTCTTTGTTAGAACGCAATAGTAGGCCAATATGTCGATGAGGGAAACGGTAAGTAATAGTATTCTCTCGCTTAAAGGAGATTTTAGCACATCTGTTTTCATTAAAATTGCGTGAGTATTGGTAACCTATAATCATGATAATTATAAATAGCCACCTCCAACGCTCCCGCTTCTAAAGTTTCTCGAAACTTCCCCAGCGGCAGAGCGATGAGAGACGGATGTAATTGCAGGACATTAATGAAATGGATTATATTATGCTAGTGTAGTTTTTTTGCTTAAGTGATCCCCGTGGCCCCTAAAGAGGGGAAAAAGCCTCTGGTACCCAGGGTAGTTTATCAACTGTGAAGGTAAGGGTACTGGTTTTACGTTGGGGTCGTAGATCTCGTATAGATCGGATATGCTGTAATTTTTGCATTGTTCTGTCCATGTTTTTGAGGCTGGTTTTGGCCAATCCTTTTCTCTGCGAAACATCAACTTGACACTTGGACTCTTGCCTCCCAGAAGACACGTGAGATCTAGGTTAGGGCTTAAATCAGAGTGCGCGGATATTTTACATCAGAGCTTCTCTGGTTGTTACTCCGTACTGAAGAGCTACAATAATAGCGAAACAGCTGTCTATGGCTACAGTCCCGCTCTGTTTCGAGTTCTTTCGGTGTCGTGTTGATGAATGTAGAGTTAATTTTCACGTGGTACGATCAGCATTGCAGTATTTTGCTTGCAGAATTTTAAATGTCTCTACTTGTTATTTTTGCTGATCAAGTCTTCATAGATCCTACGTTCTTCAGCAGATTTGTTTGCTGTCCTGTGCAGTCCTTTGTGGTTAATGTTTGTACTTAAACTGACAAACCCCCAAACTTACAACAAGGGTCACACGGTCACACATATACCAACCCATGGCCTGGCCAGTTCCTCCCGCATGCGCAGAGCCATACCATCTGGGGAGTGGGAGCCAGCCGTTTCGCCCTTATTGGGACTCCTTGACATGGCATAGTCGTCGAACACTCCGTAAAGACAAAGCTGTCTTCAGAGGTCCTTTACTACCGAGGCGATTTCCAAGTACTCCTTTAAGCGCCAGCTTCATACAACACATGATGGAGCTGTTGGCTGTGCGCATACCACTACGAGCCTCAGCGCTCCGGAAGTTAAAAAATTCGTACCGTCTGGTTGCTATGAAGTGACGTAATCATCCAGTTGAGTATCCATCACTGTAACACTTTTGCGGTCAACTACCGCAGCGCTCGTAAAGCACTTTTAATAATTAAAACCGTGTTCAAAACCCTGTAGGAAGTCTGTTTATTTTTGAGTCGATTAATGCACTGCTGACTTTCACGAGGTCAACTTTTGCATAAATTATCAAACATTATGTTAAGCGGGAAATCTGCCTATGGTTCACTATGCCACGAAAGGAGAAATCACTGGCATGATAGCTGCATGTAATAGTAATTTTATCAATCCAGGTCGCGCCGTGTTCGCTCGAGAACGCTGTGACAACCTCGTTTGGCGCGCTTCTCAATACTTCCAAAACATGTTCTAATCGGTAAGTAGACTTAAGCACTTAGTATCGCCAAGCCATTCGAATCAGTGTATACCCAATTCTTTGTCTGAAGATTCTCGCAAACACATATACCAAGCAAATCTGGATGGAAGAGGAAATTGTCTCCCTAAACGCAGCCAGATTACATTTTGAAGGATGGCGGCACAATTCAACGCGTCTTCCAGGTCAGCCCTAATTTATAGTTCGTAAGAGTATAAATTGCGATCTCCCTATTTTCGCTTAAGCTTTCTTTGATAAAACTTCAGTAGAAACAAAACAACGCAGACACGACATTGTCCTGCATTGAGACACAATCGGCTGAAGGAAATATCTGTTTATAAGTCGGGTAAATTATCCATTCTTCCGCACCGCAAAATCAGCTAAAATCAGTCGCTGGAAACCTGGCATATTATTAAGCCTGAGCGCTTCTAAGAATAACACGTTTAGAACTTCGACGCGTAGAAAAAAAAGGCAGTTGTTCTATATCCTTTCTGGTTCATCCAGGTAGAAGTCCTGGCATATTATTATGCCTGAGCGCTTCTAGGGTATATAACACGTTTAGCATTTCGACCCGTAGCCGTAAAAAAAAAAAAAATAGGCAGTTGTTCTATATCCTTTCTGGTTCATCCAGGTAGAAGTCCTGGCATATTATTATGCCTGAGCGCTTCTAGGATATATAACACGTTTAGCATTTCGACCGGTAGCCGTAAAAAAAAAAAAAAATAGGCAGTTGTTCTATATCCTTTCTGGTTCATCCAGGTAGAAGTCCTGGCATATTATTATGCCTGAGCGCTTCTAGGATATATAACACGTTTAGCATTTCAACCCGTAGCCGTAAAAAAAAAAATTAGGCAGTTGTTCTATATCCTTTCTGGTTCATCCAGGTAGAAGTCCTGGCATGATATTATTATGCCTGAGCGCTTCTAGGATATATAACACGTTTAGCATTTCGACCCGTAGCCGTAAAAAAAAAAAAAAATAGGCAGTTGTTCTATATCCTTTCTGGTTCATCCAGGTAGAAGTCCTGGCATATTATTATGCCTGAGCGCTTCTAGGATATATAACACGTTTAGCATTTCGACCCGTAGCCGTAAAAAAAAAAAAAAAAATAGGCATTTGTTCTATATCCTTTCTGGTTCATCCAGGTAGAAGTCCTGGCATATTATTATGCCTGAGCGCTTCTAGGATATATAACACGTTTAGCATTTCGACCCGTAGCCGTCAAAAAAAAATAGGCAGTTGTTCTATATCCTTTCTGGTTCATCCAGGTAGAAGTCCTGGCATATTATTATGCCTGAGCGCTTCTAGGATATATAACACGTTTAGCATTTCAACCCGTACCCGTAGGCAGTTGTTCTATATCCTTTCTGGTTCATCCAGGTAGAAGTCCTGGCATGATATCATTATGCCTGAGCGCTTCTAGGATATATAACATGTTTAGCATTTCGACCCGTACCCGTAAAAAGAAAAAAAATAGGCAGTTGTTCTATATCCTTTCTGGTTCATCCAGGTAGAAGTCCTGGCATATTATTATGCCTGAGCGCTTCTAGGATATATAACACGTTTAGCATTTCGACCCGTAGCCGTAAAAAAAAAAAAATAGGCAGTTGTTCTATATCCTTTCTGGTTCATCCAGGTAGAA